ACTGAATCAATTTTAGCATTTTATGCCATAAGCAACTTCAATGTTCTTAGATAAGATCCTTGAATTTAGTTAGCTTTTAAACTTCAGTATTCATGAAATAAAGAATAATATAACTGGTTGCATATAATTCTTTCAGCACATTTTGCATGTTTTCTATTTTATCTGTTATATATAATCACTAGCTTTAAGTGTCATACAAATAAAATTTATTTCTGTGGAAAAAAGCAGCATTGAGAATACAGAATTTTTTGAAACAAAATGGTAGTGTAGGAATAGGAGAGGTAGAATTGGAAACACAAAAGTCTTTAGCTTTATTCTTGAAGCATGTTAGATAAATGTAAGGAAAAAAGACATGTAACTGCAGATTTCATCAGTTTAAAACACAATAGAAATTTAAATATGTAGAAATAACTACACAAATCCCTTTACAACAAAAAGATTAAAAGTTCCCTTTTGTGTATAAAGCAGCAGATAAAGTATTTCATCATTAAATTGGTTGAATCCAGTGGGAAGTTTTTTAATGAAAATAATTATTTTTGGATAATCTCCTATATACTAAAATACTCTATGACTCTCACAGAAAACAAATGTAGCACAGAGAAATTTTAAGAAAACTATTTTTATCAGGTTTTAAATACTTCATATACAAATTAGAAATCATACAAATGATAAAATATTGATGTATACAATGAATAACGATTACAGGAAGATTATAAGATGCATTAGATATGCAACACTCTAAATTTTGTGTTAAGTATTTATTAAGTAAATGTAATGAAATCACTGTATATGTAATTTACACTAAATCAAATTTACATCTTGTACTTATCAACAAGCAGGGCATCAGAAGGGCAAATGATGTAATTCCATGTAACAGATATAGGCTGTGCCATTATCAATACTGAAGCAAAATTCAGTTCTTCAGGTATTTTCAAGAGACCCAGATGGCTGATCTAGTGTTGATAACATAGCAAAATGATTAATTGATTCCAGTTTTCATCTCCATCTTAGATCTTATAAGGTAGGTAAATATCAGCCTAGAGACATTATAAAATATCAAAATTCCACAATATCAGAAGAGTAAAAAATATTTTCATGATAGTTTGAAGTATAAGAAAATTCCAGTATGACTCAATCTATCAAAACAAAGAAAAAATAAATTATATTTTACCTTGTGAAATCTAACTTCTCCCTTGACATGAAGGTAAATGAGCATACCAAATCAAAAAACTCATTGTGTTTATTTTTTAAAGAAAGAGCTACTAAATATTTTATTTACAGTGAAGTGAGTGGCAAAGAATGAGTTTAAAAAGTAGAGGAAGGCTGTTTCTCAATGTTCCCAGTTTATCTGGCTACTTATTTCTTAGAACTTTTGCACTCACACATAGAAAGCGATAGCCACTGACTTCACATCTGTAAACTGAGGAAATATTATCTGTATATATATTCTCCAGTTATGGGGAAAATTCAAGAAGAAAGGACACTGAAAAGAAAAAACATACAGAAAGCTACATCTACTTGTAAGTGGTCCTTGTTATTTTCAGATAATTAGGAGTTGGAAGGGTTATTTAATGTGAATCCAGGGAAAGGAAGCCAATATTTCAGAGAAAAAAGATTGCATGGGACCTTATCTTCAAAAATAAATAAAAATAATTTTTAAATTGTTTTATTTCATTTTAACAAAGTTTTTATTATGATAGCAATTATATAATTATTTGCATGAACAAGGCTTGGTTAAATTATGTATTAATAGTGCAGTGACAGCTGATGTTTATTGTGATAAAATTATTTTAGACAATGTATCCGTTTTACTGTTGTACATGGGCTTCCCTGGTGGCTCAGAGGGTAAAGGATCTGCTGGCAGTGCAGGAGACCTGGGTTCAGTCCCCAAGTAGGGAAGATGCCCTGGAGAAGGAAATGGCAAACCACTCCAGTACTCTTGCCTGGAAAATTCCACAGATGGATAAGCCTGGTAGACTACAGTCCATGGGATTGCAAAGAGGTGGCACACAACGGAGCAACTTCACTTCTCCTAAATCAAATGTACTGTTGTATGTCTCATTTCTGCAAAAATATTACAGGCATCAATTTTCCTAAGGATCATTTTTGATTCTTAGATATTCAAATAATTTGCCTGTGGATTTATATTATCTCTACTTTGGTAAATATATATGTATATATAACTTTAAAAAATATCATTGTCAGATACTTGCGATATCTAATTATCACAGAGAAACTGAGCCATAAATGTATAAATATATAACAGAGGCATATATATAACAGGGGTTGTTAGAGAGGGTCTATTTTATAAGTGAATTCACAACTTCTTTAGTGAAAGCAACTAGTGTTTCGTACACTTTCACTTACCAATGCAACTTTATCATTTCTGGAGCTTGGATAATGATATTCAGATAACTAGGGCTCCTTCTTCTCTCATTACATATGACATTAACTGTACTCTTTGCTCTTGACGTGAGAATTTTTCATCTGGGATCCAAGGAGATATACAGGAGATCCCACAAAACTCTTAATGCATATAAATTTAGGGCTGCATATATAAATTCTGCATTTTTATGGGGAGAAGGTCTATAACTTTCCATAAATTCTCAAGGTCTTCAAAAGTTAAGAACTAAAATTAATTTTTTAATCTACTTCAGTTGATTGTGACAAAACACTATCTCTTACTCGGTCTTTAAAATTCCATTACCTATTTCACAATCCCCTAATAGCTATTATAATCTGCAAGTAGCAGCAAACATTACCTTTTCCAGCAAATATTTCCTCTACCAGATCTCTCTCATCCAGACTCTACCATCTTGTGTCAAGCCATTCACTAGCCAAGATTATGAGAAATGGCTTTCAGGGCTGAGTAGTAGTATTTTAGCAGAATGGAAAATGATGACAAATTAATGACATCAATAGTGTAATTTTTCTAGAATATGAAGAAATTATAATAATGTACAAAATTAGACAGAAATTAGCCTCTGTCTAGAATGATGTTTTTCATTGACTCTAAGATATATTCCTTCTCTATGATTTGCAATGTTAAATTATCAACTCAGATAATAAAGTAGAATTTTGAAATAAAGTATATAATGGTATCACCAATTTAATGGACATAAGTTTGAGCAAACTCCGGGAGATAGTAAAGGACAGGGGAGCCTGGCTTGCTGCAGTCCATGAGGTGACAAGGAGTCGGACATGACTTAGCAATTGAACAATATAATGTTCTCAAATTCTTGAGGAAATGTATCTTATTCTTTCTTTCATGTGACCTATTTCAGATGAATTAATGTATCTGGCTTTGATGACTATTCCTATAACTAAGAGTTTTTTCATGTCAAAAAGTGAAAATTATTTCAAATCTCCAAACTCTGAATTGGTGCTGTAAATCAAGCCTGACATAATTAATACACCATAAGGATTTAGTATTTGTCCACTTTAATTAGCAATAAGTCTCAAATTTTGTGATGATGTATTTTTCATGTGAGTAAAACCTGAAGCATCCTTTCAAAAATTTATCCCAAAGTTAGTATTCATGAAAGACTACATCTCAATCATAGTAATACACAGCAGCATTTTAATTTTTAGACTTCTTCTTCCTGGTAAAAAAAATATATACATATATATATATATATATATCTACTACATTATTTCATCTTGGTTTTCAAAGAGACTTTCATAAGTTGTTGCCAATAGTTTTCAGGATTCCCAACAGATGTCTTCTAGATCTCTCTAATGAATGTCTCATGAAGATACTTTCCCAACTTATTCTCATTTTATCATTTAGTTGATATTATTCTTCTGTATAGCCTCCCCTCCATCAAATGTATGCTTTTTAAAAGAAGTTTTAAATTCTGCTCTTCCCACACACTTTTGGGATTCTCCAACTTTCATTTTTATTTTTTCTGAACTTCGGTATTTGCAGTTTATACCGCACCATGTAGACTTTAATTTTCAAAGTCTTCTATCTTTTGTTTTGTTTTCTTATGCAGTCTCATTAACTCCCTGAGGAGTAAGACCGTATCTGGCTCACCTGTTCTATATTTTCATAAAACTTATTGCAGTTTTCAGTATCTCTCCCTAAATGCTCATTGATCAGGTGATTATTCATGCAGGTCTAACACAGAGCAATAATCCTGGTAAGTCAATTACCAAACCTTTGAAGAAGCTCAAGAGAGAAAAAATTGAGTAAATCACCATAGGTATAAATGTTCTTATTAAATGCTAACAAAGATCATAAGGTATTTTAAGTACTTACAGGAATAGCACTATATCTTTTACTCAGAGCTGAATGTAATAAGAAAGCTTTTCTGTTTTACTAATTATTTTGTCAGTTGGCAATCCAGTTTTCAATATTTCATGAATTTGAAGGAAAACTGTATCAACTAGCTAATTTAAATCCAGTTTTTGAAACAGTGATAAGTGTTATTTAACAAATTAACAAACTGTCCTATTAGGTAGACTTTCAATATTTTATTTGCTGAGACTGATTATCCAATATCTCTTCTTGATGAAGCAAAAATGATTTAGTATGTAATTTCAGATGCTGATTAGAAAATCAGAAGAATGAAGGGGAATAAAGAACATATATTTCCTCCATTTTGTACCTGTTTGGGGGAGTACATTTGTGAGAAGTGATATGATATAATTCCAACCAATATTCTTGAGGAAAAGATTCAGTGTATTCCTTTTCTGGACTGTGCGTGTCTTCTCTATAAATATGCAAAGAAGCTTTTAGAATTTGTGTAATTGAACTGACGAAGGGAATTTGAGTCTTTAGAATCCAAAGTTTTTATAAATTTTCTGTGTTTTATTGTGGAAAATTCTAGAGTTTATTATAGATTTACTCTTCAATTATAAGTGGTAAATAATCTATCATTTATTTAGTTCCTCTACAAGGCTTGAACTTTAGACAACATATCCACTAGACAATGTAGAAAGGCAATAAACCACCAGATTGTTGATCTTTGCATGTTTCAAAAGGAAGAAAACATTTGTATGTTTCAGGTTTATTCTTGCAGTCTCTTAGTTCCAATAGCTCATCATCAAGTGACTACTTTTAAAACATCAGTAGACAGCTATTTCTCATGTTGTGCCTCTTTCCAGAAAAACAAAATTCAAGTAGATTTGGACTTAGTGGTCAAAGAGGAAAAAAAAACCTTTTTTTCTGTTAATAATTCAACACTGTGTTTGTTCTTCCTGTAAATTCTGCTGTTTCTAACCAATCAGTGTTTCATGACCAATATATTCCTTTCAGAAAAATTAAGTGAGAGAAATGTATGAAACAAGAATGTAATTGCATAGCACCAGCACAAAATTTCTTCCCAGTTGATCAGTTGAGCCTGTTTATTTTTTTTTTATAACTCATCACCATCTTCTGAGCTAAAGCTACTTCTTCTACTGCTCTCTTTAGAAACCGCAGGAGAAGTGGCAGATAGCAGAGGGTCTGTTCCAAACGGAGATACTGTGTCATCCAGTAGTACGTTATCCAACCTCTGTTCCTCTTTCAAAGCTGCACTAAATGATAAATCCGTGAAGTGCGACAAAGGATCAGAGAAGGCCATAGCTTGATCACAGAGCTCAGGGCTTGTCCCCTGAGACAGAACCAACTGTTGGCAATAGTCTCCTGAATTCTGCTCTAGATGGGTCTGTTGTTTGGTGATGTGAGCACCTAAATCAACTGTGACAAGTGAAGCCAGGGTTGGCAGGCCATGAGCACGAGCCTGTATTTCTAGTTCCTGCAATATCAAACAAGAGTAGTTAAATAATGACTTTGATAGTAAACTCAACTCTAGATAGTAAGTCAGAAATAGATCTAACAAGCACTCAACATGAAGAGTAGTATAAATTAGAAATATTCTTTGCAAATAATAGAGTGTGGTATGTTTCTAATGCCTGAAATATAATCCTGAGGAAAATACTCAGATTTCTAAAAAAATTCCTCCCCCATTTGTTCATTAAAAGAATACATGACATATAATGGTCTCACAGTGGCTCAGATTACAAGACAACTATTTGGAGATAGTAGAAATCTTTCAGTCATTCTTCCTGATTAATTTCTCAATATAAGACCATTTTATGGAAACAAGTGTTTTACCTGGCAATAAGCTTGTTCACATATTAAAGAAAAAATCTTGAGAGTTATGAAAACCTATATTTTGAGATTTGCATCACATAAGAAGATGACGCATGACTTAATATAAACTAGCACAATATTCCTTAAGGCTACAAAATCCATATCAGTGTTACTAAAGAAATAAAACAGGGAGAGGAAAATTTAATGTCCAATATTATCCAAAGAAACAAAGATCCTATTTACTACTATTTTTTGACTGGGATAATATTTGTGTGTTTATAAAATTGGTTCTATTTTATGCATTTTGCAATTAGTTATTGTCATTCCTTATATATTTTTAAAGTCAGCTTGATCCTAGATTTCTAATCAAAATCTAATTGAATCAGTCTAATTTGTGAACTTCTAAAAGGCAATAAAAATTATCCTTGAGAAGGAAAAAAAACAATTGTTAGTAAGAAAAAAAACACGACCAATGAATAGAACTGATGATGGATAAGTCATACGTAAGGTACACGGTTCATGGCAATGTTCTTATGAAAACCTGAATGCGGAGTAGAAGGCGCCTGTTAGCCTGCTCTAATTTCTTCTGTCTGTGTTCTAATTCTTGAGCTCTCTGTTGTTCTTTTTGTAGCCACTTGATGTACTCCACTGATGCTTTTAGAATGGTTCCTTTGTTCCAGCGCATATCACTGTAGAACGGAGAGATAACCTTTTCACAATTGTGCATGTCAGCAGAATTCATAAGAACTTACAAAATCTTTTACATTAATATGAAATAATGATTTACATGACTATTATTCACTCTTAGATATTATTGCTTCTGAATAGAAATTTTAATAGAATAGTTAAGAAGCCCTTATATAGTAAAATTAATCCCAGAATGAAAATAAGTGTCAAAAGAAAGTAATAAAGTGACTTTTTGTGGGAGAGCTAAATGCAATATCATGATTCTACCATTACAGTTTTTATATTTTTAGTGAAAATTGCTTTTATTATTAACTCTGAGATTAAAATCTATGTGCAGTATTTCTGCATTAATGAACTAGGAAATGTACATTACTGAAGACTTAAGCCTAAATTTTTTAAGATCATTTCATATGTACCAATCTTTTAACCTACTTTCTATAAGGTTGCTTTTATGCTTCCAGGGGAAAAAAATAAGGTCCCATGTCTGTCCTGAATGGTGATCCTGAGTAATTGTGAAACAAATCATTTTGGCAACTTTATGCAATAGAGCAAAACTTTCTAGATTCATAAGGCAAATTTTTCCACAAAAAAAGCATCAACACATTTTTTTATAAAAAGCTATATATCTATTTTTAAATAAGTTTATGATATGTAAATACAATTAAACATTGCTGATAATCTTCAGGCTGTAGCATAGAAAAATATTTTATTAAAACTTATTTTTAAACAATAAAAATCATAAATCCAGAATTATAGAACTGGATACTTATTTTAATGTCTAAAAACATATTTCAATCAATTTAATACTATCTGACAATTGGTAATATGTATGGAGAATAAGGCCAAGCTAATTGCTAAAAGTTAATCAAAATAGTTGAAAAATCTGGGTGAATTTTCAACTTAGAATAATGAGATTTGTTTTGATACAACAGAAAGTAAGCTTGTAGGGAAATTTTTAAAGACATTACACTGCATGTGATTTTAGTTTATGTGATCTACGTGAAATATATGCAACTTAATATGTATTTACTAAGTACTCAGAAGTAGAAAAATATAGTTTGAAAAATCTGACTGGTATATGCCTCATAATTTTGTTTCATTTCTTCTCACGGAAAGAAAAAATTAGAAGGACAGAAGGAATACGATGAAAACAACATCCTAGTCAACTATGAAATTTAAGGTACTGTTTATTTAGGTCTAAAATAAATATTTGAAGTTTTGGTAGAAAACACACAGTGGTACTTCCCTGGTGGTCCAGTGGATAAGCAGTCACCTTCCAAAGATACGGGCTCAATCTCTGGTCAAGAAACTAATATCCCACATTCTGTGAGGCAACTAAGTTCTGCACACCACAACTGAGACCTGATGCAGCCAAATCAATAAATGTGATCAATTGCTTCAGTTGTGTTCGAATCTTTGCAACCCCATGAACTGTAGCCCGCCAGGCTCCTCTGTCCATGGGATTCTCCAGGCAAGAATATTGGAGTGGGTTGCCATGCCCTCCTCCAGGGGATCTTCCCAACCCAGATATCAAACCCATGTCTCTTGTGTCTCCTTCTTTGCAGGTGGATTCTTTACCACTGAGCCACTTGGGAAGCCCAAATCAATCAATCATATTTTTTAAAAAGGAAAACACACAAAAGGTTTTCCTACAATATCTATTTGTTGTCATTTCACTAAATTTTTAAAAGTTCACTCTATTTTAAAGCCAATTTAATGTATGAGATTTCATCCTAAAATATTTTGTTTTCCAAATATATTAAGGAGATATATTAATTATATCTCCCAAGATAATTTCAAGCATCTAGGCATTAAAAACATTATATATGACCGTATACTATAGACACTAACACAAAGACTTGCCTAAGGAGTGAATGTTGATAGTGGCTTATCATTTTCTACAAAATAATTTATTTTGAAGAACTTAAATCTTTGAGGAAGTTAAAACCTTGAATGTCTGTAGGGTTAAAGCAGGTATTAGAAATATGTAAGTTAGAGTAGGAATGCTGTCAGGCAAAACTATGGAAATGTAAGATCTGTTGTCATCTTAGGAGTACACATTCACTTAAAAGCATTACAAAAATAAAAAAGAAAGCAAACATCATGAGAGGTCTGATTTTTCTTCCTTTGATCACCATTTTATAACTTCTGATTTAGAAAGTCTTGTTAGGTCTCATTTACTACTTCAACTGCCATTCTTACACAAGAGCAGAAGAAAGTTTTGACTGTAGAAGATAAAAAAATCAGTTTAGTAGGAAAAAAGCCCCTTAGGTTTACATCTAAAAAAGTAGTAAAAAAAAAAAAAAAAGAAGTAGAAAAAATAATAATTTGATAGCACAATGCATGCTCTGCTAGCATTTTTATATTTACAAATATGATATTTGTAAATATGATTAATAAAAAGCACATAGGAAGTAGATCACTACCACATATCTGTAGAAATGCTTCACCTTTTTATTTGTTAGTTCTGTTTGATTTTTCACTAATAGTTAAGATATTATCATTCCCTGGTAGTGTGTTTTTCATTTCATTTTCTCAGCATATTTATCTCAACTATAACTGTTTACTATTTTTTTTCCTTCTGACCATACTATTTTGATCCAGCAAAGAAGAAAGAAATACAAATTTCTGAAAGTTTTTGATACACAAAAATGGCAACTTCATAGAATTCAAAACGCCTTCCGGTATTAACTTTCATTTCCTAAACCAAGTGAAAGTGAAAGTCACTCAGTCGTGTCCAGCTCTTTGCAACCCCATGGACTACAGAGTACATGGAATTCTCCAGGCCGTAATACTGGAGTGGGTAGCCTTTCCCTTCTCCAGGAGATCTTCCCAACCCAGGGATCGAACTGAGGTCTCCCCCATTGCAGGCAGATTCTTTACCAGCTGAGCCACAAGAGAAGCCCTTCCTAAACCAAATCCTAAGTTTATTCCAGTCGTGAGCTGGAAAGGCACTCAGAGCCTTTTTATACCTGCTGGCTAGTTAGAAGAGGGAAATAGGGCCCAAAACGGCAGTCCAAAACAGTGGTCAAAAACAGTCATGGGAGAACATACTGACACTCCTTTCCCTGATTTGAGCCCGAGGTCATGCTTCATTTGCATAATGTTTTACCCACTTCCCTGACTGGTATCTGGTTCATGCCTCATTGGCATGAAGCGCAACCAATCAAGCCCCCAGAACTACCAAAGAGGAAGTAACAAAAGATATAAAGAGGGAAACTGAGCCAGGTCTAGACCACTCTTATGGGGGTTGGTCCACTCTCATGTCCGGAGAGTGTACAAGACAAGAACGGAAGAAGAACTGACCCAGTAGAACCAAAGCTTCAGAGTTCTTTCTGCTTGCCCAAACGCATGTGTTTAGAAGTTGGGCCCTAGCTCTCTTCTATTTAGCACAGTTTTTGCAAATTTGTGGTTTTCCCACTCTCAAACGCATCTGCCATAAGAAGTGTGTTTTATATATTATGACCTAGGGTATTCTTTGTACATAAAATTGCAACAAAGTTTTCATGAGGTATTACTATCCTCCTAACATGTATAATATATAATACCTTTATATTTCCAGTGCCTACATATGATATGATATAATAGAATTAAAACAATTACTAATTCTCCTTTCTGATATCTACAAAGAAGAGAAAACCACTTAAGAAGGCTTACAATGATGCTTCCCCAATTATGGTCCCTTTCAGATGTGATTATGGATAAACTGATTTTCCTTATTCCAGATCAGCCTACAGCCTGCTTTTGTCAATAAAGTTTCATCAGATGCAGTCATCCTCTCTCATATACATATTGTCTATGTCTGCTTTCATGCTACAATGGCAGAGTTAAATAATTGTCAGAGGTTTTATGCTCACAAAGCTTGAAATAATTATTATCTGACTCTTTAAAGGAAAAGTTTGCCATCCTTTGGTCTTGACGATGAAAATTTTGCTATCCCTTGTTCTTGACAATGAATTAGAACCAGAGAGGAGCCATTTTATAGCCATGGCTACTATATAAAAATATACAGTAATAATTACCCCTCACATAAACTTTATCATTTTTGAGGTTATACATATTATTTTATTTTTATAAAACTCCATCCATAATTGGTGATTTATAGGCATGGTGATATCAAAACATGTTCAGTCAGGCTTCATAGTTTAATCTTACAGTCTTATCATTTGTTTTTTTTGCATATAACCTGGCCCTGGCACTATGGGTTAGCTCTATCAATTACAAGAGAAGCTCTCTTAACTGACTTAACTGATCACTTTCAGGATTAATTAATGTTCTCCATTCCCTTTGTGATGCTCACTGACTGTTGTCAGATCAAAGTAGATAATAGAGGCCACTAGGCTACCTTCTGAGACACCCAGGTACTTCTGTTATCCTTCTGGTGACAGTGCTTACTGACAGGCTGTTAAATAAATGCCCATTGTACTTATTATTGTGATAGTATAATTAAATTATATGTGTTAACTGATGAGATATAAATACAAAATAAGAAAAAGCATTTATAAAAACAACTCTTGTTTTTTCAGGAAAAGTATATTAAAAGCCTCAGAAAAAATAAAGTAAAATGTCAGTAAGATAGTTTGCTAAAAATATGCTGTTACAAATTAGTGTGCAATCATTTAAAAAATCCATCAACACTTAAGTGTTGGCATTCAGGTTTTTGTTTTATCTGTAGGAAATTAAAATAGACTATACATTTTTGTGCAGTTTATGTAAGCCAGAAAATTGAAACACATATTCAGACAACAAAGTCTTGACCTTATATCAAATGTTTGGTGAATAAATGTGCATTTATGTTTTAAGTGTTAAAGTTTTATCTAGAAAATGGAAGTCTGTTCTGCTAATAGAAAGAGTTGCATGCTGAGAGACCTTCAAAAGATTTGAAAAGTTAGTGTGGATTCTAGCCAAGATTAAGCTCTTCAGACTCCCTATCCAGTGTTCTTTCTGCCATTCTACTCAAGAAGCCTTCATTATCTACTATGCACATAAGAATAAATATATGGCATTTCCTCCATTACAAATGATTGAATCATCCAAATGAATTAGCACATTTGCATTTAAGGAAAGAGTACTTTCACTTTTCACAAGAACTACTTAATCAAACATCATTTCTGAATAATGGATAATGCCAGTGTTTGGAGAGTCCAGTTCTGTCTGAACAAAACATTTTTTTCAATTCCTCATTAATGCTACAATGTTTTCATGGTTTTAGAGAAACATGGTAAATTGACATTGTGATTAATCAACTATTTCTTGATATTTACAACCTCAAACATCTAGTTCAACTGACTTTGTGACTATATGGCATCAAAACCTAGCTGAAAATTTAATTACAATAGCAAATTATTGACTAATATCAATAAGCATGTTCTTACAATTCTTATTTTTTGCTTGTATATTTTTTGCTGGGATTTTGGAATGTCTGAGAATTCAACATTCCAATTTTCATGTACACATAAATCTTAAATTGGAAGAATTGCTATAACTATAAATTGAGGATTCAGTTGATATCATGAAAATATGTTACTATGACTAAATTTGCAAATATTGGTGTCATACAGAAAGATTTGTTATGTACTAAGAAGAAATAATTTACTTATTTCCCAAAGCTCAATAGGATAAGCATTAGTAACAGTTTTGATGTCTGATGTTTAATAATTATCAGCCTTGATAGATATGTTAAAATGACACCAGTAGTAGCCTTGTCTTCACCATAAGCTGCTTACTTTACTCAGCATTGGTTCATCCCTCCACCTCTTCCCTCTCACCTGTCTTGTGTAGTATTGAAACCATTACATTATTAAGAAATGACTATTGAACTCACGGATCATTAGACTTCGGAATAAGAGTACCAAGCTCCTTGATTCGGTAGTTAATATTATATCTTCTTCTTCTTTCAACTATTAAAAAAGAAATATTATTGATTATTCTCATTAAAGCACAATTCACTTTTGGTCAACTGTTAAACCTCCTTAATAATCCTTGAAAAACAATGAGCAAAAAATTTCCATTTAGTCACAAGTGTATTCTCAACAATAAAATAAAAATTCAAATACATTTTTTCTAAAAGTAAAAAATAACAATATTTGAATTGTGATTCTATTATTCACAATGATTTTAAATCATTTTGAAACATTTTCTCTCAAAAATAACATTTTTATCATTCTTTGAAATGCTATATTACTCATAATGATATATATGTACATATATATCAGGATGGGTGTATATATATGTATACATATGTGTATATCAGTTCAGTCGCTCAGTCGTGTCCGACTCTTTGTGACCCCATGAATCACAGCACGCCAGGCCTCCCTGTCCATCACCAATTCTCGGAGTTTACCCAAACTCATGTCCATTGAGTCGGTGATCCATCCAACTATCTCATCCTCTGTCATCCCCTTCTCCTCCTGC